TTGGCAACTTTTGCATTCCCTCGGAATAGAATTTCCCATCTTTAGAATTGATAAACTCCAAAAACGAATTTTCTAATTCCCTTTGTCCATTAAACTTTTTGTCATGTAAATAGTGGGGCAGGTGCCTAAAAAAATGATACTCCGTTGGCGAAAGGTCCAGAGAGTAAGGGCGATGTGGCAGAGTTTCAAACCCAAGCTCCAACAGATCTTGTGACTTCACACTTGAGATATGTGGACAAGCGTTGTCATGAAACAGATTCTTTAATTTTCTTATTTTTTAGGTTATTTTATTTTATTATATATTGTATATACTTTTGATTATTATTTTTTTCTATTTATTTATTTTTTTTGTACATATAGTGTGAATGTCATCCTACCTCACTATAATGTCCAAGAGACAGATTGTTATAATAACTCAATAAAGGAAAAAAAAGTTTTAGCTCATATACATTTACTTTTAGTATTATTGTTTTTCTGTATTATTTATTTTTATTTATTGTTAATAGAGTGTGACTGTGCTCCCTGAACACTGTTATAAGTGTCCTTATTTGTGACAGATTGTAATATCTGTCAATAAATATTAAAAAACAAAAAAAAAATTCTTAAACAAACTTGAGAAGAAAATAGAATATAAATTTTTAAAAATACCCACCAATTAACTCTTTATTGGTTTTTGAAGTACCTATAGTATATGACTATCAAGAGAGTAAAAATCTGTAGAGTTATGAGGCAGTTGATACATAGTTGCAAAAGGATCTTATAATCAGGACATTGACAAGCCAAAAGGCATGGTAATGGCCTACGATTCAGTTTGGTAAGGCACACCTTCTTAAAAGATTAAGAACGCCGAAATTATATTTTTCCTCCCTATGATATGCGAGGTCTTGGACAACAACTATAACGAGCCTTTTATCAGTTCTCACAATGGAGTGACTCAGGATAGAACGGCTGGGAAAACGCTTCTAAGAAAGGCAGGAGAACAGCCAACGCTTTACTGAGAGTGGCAACGGATGTAAAACAGCTGTTGGGTTAGAACAAGCCGTTTTTGAAATAAAGATGGGTCTAAGAAATACATTAGAGGGTTCTTAGGCGAGAATAGTGGATACAGCACAATCTATAGAAATTTCATGAAAATAGGATTATCGGTAATAGGCGATGAGGCCATTTTATAGATTTTTTCACTTCTTGCATGAATTCAAGGAAAACAACAATACAAACAGAACATAGAGCTTAAGATCATAAAAAAATAAATTATTTTAATTTGAAAGTCTTTTAATTTGATAAAAAAATTCAAGAGTGAAGTTTTAATAAAAAATCTAAATAGATTTATTTCATTCTGATCCGAAGAGGCCGATTCTTTGACATTTTTTCTCCTCCCTCCCCAAAAAAAGAAAGGTATCCAATTTAGGATAGCTAGAAGGGGGAAGGGCGCGAAAATGTTGATTGGAAATAGCACCCAGGGGTCGAATTCCCTGTCAACAGAGGTCAAAGTCAAAGATTTACCACAATACCCAAGCTATGGTTTAGTTGTAATGAAAATTGGAATCTTTTGTTTGTAAAATAATTACAATTGGTAATGAAATAAACCTTAGAAATAAGAAAAATACCGATGAGGAAAAACAAAACCTAAAAAGTAATGTATACCTATGTTAAATAGTCAAGCTTTCGTCAACTGCAAAGATGAACTGAAAGTAGTTCTGTAATTGTAATTGTTTGTTCAGAAATTGACTAATATATGAGCCTTTCAGTTGAAATAATGACTAACTCCAATTTCAACATTTTTGAGCACTTTAGTGATATTGGAAAATTTATATCAATACATACAGTGAGTAAGTTGATTTCAGAGTAGCTGATTGCATTGTTGAAATATAGAACTGTGAATAAAGGTATAAATTTTATCACTAAAATTAATAAACAAAAATGTTGAAATTGGAGTTAGTCATTCTGCCAACTGAAAGGCTCATATAATAAGCAAAAGACTGATGCCGCTCTTGTAAATATGTGTTTCTGCGAATTCAGTGGCTAGGAGCTAAATGCTCAGATATAAAGTGTTTTACAACCTCAATATTCGCAATACCCGAATATTATTTCTTCTATGATAAGGAGTTCATAGTAAAGGCACATTATGATGGTATATATTTGATTAAATATAACTAAATAAATAAACAAGTCTGGAACGCACATCACACACCTTTCATTTACCACCTTACTTCGTGTAGATATTTAATTTCTGTTTAAATATGAATGGTTAATATTTAAATTTAAAGTTGAACATGATTAGTTAGCAGCCCAAAGCACAAAGTTCAAACAAATCCCCTCCCCTAACTCTCCGTTTTAATACATACAGATATCTATCAATGGTGCTTTTCTTTTACGTTATCACTTGGTTATGTTCCTCATCAAATCCAATTATACAAAACTCAAAAAGTAAACATTTTTTTGTTGATTTCACCCATGATTATTTGAAACATTACTAAATTCGTTACTAAGCAAAATAAAAATCATTGATATCGAATTGGAATTCATCCGGACCATTATTAACAAAATATACAACTTATTGTAATTTATGAATATGTTAGTTTAAAAAAATATGTTATAATTTTGTCATTTGTTCACAGACCAATGTTCTACGCGATGCGTGCCAAATAGTTTACAATATATTTTGAAATATATACATGAATTGAAGTATGACATTGTAATATACTTTATCTATATATTTAATATAGTTTATAATAAGTACTATCGGTGAGTTAGTTTATTAGTTCACTCTCGCGCTGGCGATAAATCGTAGTCGAACTATGTTATTGGATTTAAAGTTATTAAACTAAAGTTATCCAGCATAAAAAACATATCTCTCATCCGATGTAACAACAACGCAACTGAAAAATTTTGGAAACATTTTTTACCACGCTCAATTGTCAGAAAGGCCTGTTTAATTGACTCGACAGAAGAATTGTACATAGGTGTAATGATTTTTTAAAATGATTTTATTTGCGTAATAATAATTCTAATCATTTTGTCTCTCCTAAATAATTGTATGATTGAAAGTTACGTCATTGTTCCACTACATGAATGATGTGTTTTCTCCCCATAACTAAACTACTGCTTTAAACACCTTTTCTCACAAAAGAATAATAAAATATGTTTTCAAACAAACACATTGATGTATTTGGATGTATCATATATTTCTGGTATCAGGTTTAAAATAAATGTTAAAAATTTCCATGGAAACATTCAGTTCACGTTAAGGAAAATACAAGTGTAAATTACTTTTGTATATCAATCAATCAATCAATCTTTATTTGTTTTAAGGGAAGAACCCTATACAAATGGAGTCTATCACAAAATAACAAACATTATTATCCTTATGGAAATACGAATTGCTTTCTATACTGTATAACAGACATTACAACATTCTTAAGCATAAACTAAAAATTATATTCGGTAAAGGTCAGACAGTTAAAATAGTTTCAATTATCAAATTAATATAAAATCTAAAGTTGTCAACAACATACATAAATAAATACACATACAACAATAAATAAACATTTTTTTTTAAATATTAATACTAAACTAAAATTAAATTATGCTTTAAAATTAAATTAAAAGGTTACCTCTATACCTAAGAGAACAGACAAGAAAAATACCCGGCCAGATTACATGTCGATGTACAACATGGAATTTTTGCCGTATTATGCGGAGGACAATATTCAAGATTACCCTACCAATTCTCTATAATTTGATATAATTGAGATAAAAAAATACAATTTTCTCATATCTTTTGCATTGGTTGGCTTAAATATTTATTTCTATCCCATCAAGATTTTCCATACCCTGATAAATTCTTACCCTTAAGCTACTATAAATTCGGCATTTAAATAATATGTGATGAAGTGTTTCCTTTTCTTTAGTCTTGCACATTTTGCATTCAAGTTTTGGAGTAATGTTCACAATTTTATTATTAACAGAAATCTTGATCATATATTTTCCCGAGAGACGGATCTGCAGTAAATAGTTTCGTATAATTGAAATTAGTCGGTATCAACAAATACTGCGGGATCTGATCATTATTAGGAAAAAGGTTTAATGTTCACAATAAGATGAGCTATGCAATGTTATCAAGTTTTGCATACATTTATAATATAATAATTTATTTATTAAAAATAAATAATATATTCCTTTTTGGGATATATTGCAAATGTGATCCTCATTAGTGGACTTTCCTCCAGAATAAACATTTCTGAAGTTAAAATTCCATTGTTCATAACTTACAAATTTTAAACTAATATTTATTTTTATTTATTATTTTTAATATGAAATTAGTTAAAACACAAATTAATAATAATTAAAAGCATAATGCGAAAAACTATTTTTTTTTTCTGATGTTATTACAGAACTTACATATCTGTGAGAAACTAATTAAAGATTAAAATAACATAATTTACAATTAGTAAAAAAGAAAACTAATAATGTTTTTACTAAAAAAATAATGGACGACATAAATAAAACTCTTAGGGCGGGATAGCACTTGGCTTTTTTTTCCAATCGGATTCTTTACTTAAATTCTTTTTCGGATTCTTTACGCACCAGTAGCGGCCCCTGAGATGGTATGGCGACGTAAACTTTTTGCGGAAAAAAGGACGATCGGATTATTTAACGCCAACGCACAGTGGGATGAATGACCAATTTAGGTGGAAAAAACTCTAACACTTGATATTTTATTTTTATCCCAGTTGTGGTTTTAATTGCCATACAGGCACATGATTTTCTACTAATTGAAATACCAATATCTAGTCCTGTCATAGATATTGTTCCAAGGAAATATATACAGATTTCAACAGAAAAATGAATTTTTTTCAAAAGTTTGTTAGAAAATAAAATTGATATCAATAGAAAGTAAAACAAAAAAGAAATCTCAAAATTTCTCCCTTTTGCAGGCACACAGGACACTCTGTGGTCAGTCATCATTAGCAGCACGCAACTTATTTGGAGGAAAGCGCTCAACTGCCCGGTACAGAGATTTTTTGAAGCTTTCCAAATTCTCTGTGGCATACCACCCTCTCCAGTTCGGACCAAAGCCGATAATCTAGTGGGTTGAGATCAGGCCTTTCTGAGGGCTCATCCGAGGCAGATGAACTCTGGAATGTTCTTTTGCAACCACTGCTGAGTTGACCTGGCCTTGTGAGTCGGAACGGAATCCTGCTAGAAAACCAAATGACTTCCAGCAAACAGAGTATCATTTAGAGGCTTGGCAACAGGTTCCAAACTATCGTCCAGATAGTTTATAGCGGCTGTTTTAACTTCTTTTCCATAAAAATTAAATTTTTGATTCAATAGTTCAATTGCAGTTGGCGTGGTGATTTAATTGAGACTTCTGTAACGAACACCTTTTTCTTCTGATGATTTTTATGTCAACAATTTTGTCAGCCTCAGAAACGTTTACCTCCGTCGAAAACCGATCGCTGTATACGGGCTGAATTAGCTCTCCAAACCAATTTTCCGTTCTTCATAACTTTTTTCTTGAATCGTCTCGATAATTCACTAAATATACGAAAATTTAAAAGATTTTAAGTAGAATATTAGAAGAAAGTTTCATTAAAATTATTAGAACAGTATAATGTTAATTTGAAACTTCATAAAGCATAAATATATAAGTTTATACAATTAATTGATTAATGTTTTTAGCTCATATGTTAGATTCGCACATAAAAGCTGTTATTAGTAGTTTAGGTACTTAGTGGTTATTATTTTGGACACTTAGAGATTATGAACAAGTGCCGTTTGAGGTCCTTTGTAATTAATATTTGTCGACGTTTCTCACCACCTGTTACTCAGAGGTAAACTTAAATTATTAATTATATCATTAAATTATAATAAATATTATGACCAGAATAACAATAAACGTTAATTTTGTGTTACATATGAAATGAAATACAAAAGAAAAGATAAAAAATTGGTAGGATGTACAGTCAATAATTATATGAATGCAGAACTATAAGGAAAATAAAGAACAATTCATGGACAATAATTAACCGGTATGAGTCAACAAAAGCGTTTAAAAAATAAGCTAAGATAAAATAATTTGATACTGAATTTTATGTTGAAGTTCTGAATCCTGTTTTATGTCTAAGTATAAAATAAAAAGATATCTCACGTTATCTACCACACTGTCATTTATTTTTGTATTTTCATATATTATTTCTGATAATCGATTCATTGCTCACATAAAAGTTTTGCTATAAAACGAAGAAACAAGGAAATCCGATTAAAAATAACAGATTTACAGAATCATAGCCAAAAATATCCAGTTAGGGATCACTGGACGGAAATTGAGAAGCTCATATTCTGAGAACATTAATCCACTTAACTGTCGCTTATTTTTGGTTCTCGGTGGGAGTCAATTTTATACGCCCCGGTGGGCGTATGATTTTGAGAAGTTTCATCATAGTAACTAAAATGGGCAGGTATAAGTAACCATTTAGTCTTAATTTTTATTAATGAAAAATTTATTTTTATTTTGTTTTCTTATCTCGTTCTTTCCTGGCAAATGATTAATTTTTAGGGCCAGGATAGTAGACTAAGGAGTGTGTACAGCCATGCACGTGCGGTGATAACCGAAGTTGGAGACCATAAAATAATTATGAGTTCGCGTCCCGCTGTCCAGGGGGTCTTTTAACTCTGGCATCAATCCCCCGCCCACCCAACTTGGCCAGCGAAAACCTCCGTATAACCTAAACGGCGAAGTAGGGAGAGAACAGGAAAAAAATTTGTTATTATTTGGAAAGCTTTACTCAAATATAATAAAGCTAAAAATCAAATAAAGTTATACAATTCCACAAAATAAAACAACGCTGTTTAGATTAGATGATTAAAATGTTTAAGAATCGTACTACATCTGAAAATAATCTCAGTTTGACTAACTGTCAAGTCTGCAAGATTTGCAAGAATTTTGACAGTTTTGATGGAAGTGTATGGTGTAATATCTGTGTTTGTGATATATTTTCATTTGAATATTCAGCAGTAAAAATTGAATATGTTAGTTATCCTTAATTTTCTTTTAAAGACAAAATAATAAAAATGAAATTATATATTTACAGAGCAAACTGGTTTGTTAAAAAATAAACATCATAAATCGTTAAATTTTTAGAACTTGTAATTAAAACATAATCCAGTGTTTTTGTCCATTTAATTACAAACTAATTAGACCTAATTCATTAATTTACTGTAATACTGCAGTAAACGATGAAATAATGTGCCTGTTTTATTTCAGAACCAACTCGAAGAATTCTTTGTTAAATTGGAAGAACAATATTTATTAAACATTTTGACATTTGGACACGTTTTTTTGAATTTTTGGGCATCGCTATAATAAAATTTAATGGTTCAACTTTCGTACATATACAGAGTGGATATTATGGGACTTTGTTATCCCACTCCGGTCATTCCGGTCAATTAAATTCCGAAAAATGTACCAAAGTATAAAATGTTAAAAAATCAAACATGAGAAAGATATTGAATTCATTTTGAAATTCTAGGTTTTACTGGACAGAGTTCATAAATAAAATTCCAAGCTTCAACTAAAACAGTTTTATGACAGTGCCTAGTAGTTTAATTCTATTTACTAGATGCCTATCATTGTTATGGGTGTTTGTTTCACTTCGGTGGGATATTCGTTTAAATCTTTTTTATAACGTTTAATTTTAAGCTTACATAAATTATTCTTAATATACTTAATTAATTGTTCATAACACGAAAAACTCAAAAATATCTATTAGAGACATTTACGGAATGTGAAGAGGCATCTTGGAAAGCCAATCATCATGTCATCCAGGAAGGCCTGAGTAAGTGGATGACTATTGCGAGGAAGATATAGTTTTAAAAGTGAGAAGAAATTTACATACCTTGGTACAATTGTAACCAACTATAAAAAAAATGGAGAAATAAATAAAAGAAAGAATTGGAAACGAAAACAAGTTTGATTGGTCACTTAGAAAGTTATTTTAAAATAAAATAAATAGATACTCTGAAACTTCAAAATATATAAAACGGAACTTTGTCCAATTATCTCATATATAGTAGTGAGGCATAGAGATACTAACCAAGAAGCAAGATAGATTGCTGAGTTCATGTGAGAGAAAGATTCAACAAAAGAAGTAAGTCAATACCGCATAAAAACGAAAGCAGAACTGAAGGACCTATATGGGAAACCTGATATAGTTTATAGCATCCGTAGGGGGAGAATAAGATGGCTGGGCCATTTATACTGGATGGATTAAGAAGACCCGCTAAGTAGAAAATGGAAGGACGCCTAAATGGAGAAAGATAAAATCGGTCATAGCGCCGAAGGAAAAACAATATATATATATATATCAAAAATATTTTCCAATCAAACATTGAGTATTTAATTTTAAAATAATATTTTTATTGGGTATTAGGTCATTAAATTAGCTTTAATTCAATAAACTAAAAATCATTAATTGATCTTAGTGTTAATTTAACGGTTCGATCCTGTTTTCCCTCCTTACACTAGCAATCGGATCAACTTCAGGACTGGAATAACAAATTGCCTCAATTCGTACACAAATATGTTTTCATATGTTTCAACTAATAATTTAAAATGCTAAAATCTAGTCTCGATAAGTCAAGTCATAGACACGCCGGTACCAACGTCAGGTACTTCCCAACCGATTTACTATGCGAATCACAGGCGGATCTATGGAGGGAGCTTTTGGGCCTGAAGCCTCTCCCAAAATGGTAAAATATAACCATGTTTTACAGAAAAAAAATATTAAAAACTATCTCTTAAAGTATTCTCGTTCGTTTAATTACATTTAATAGGACTTCAAGAACCACTTGAAAATCATTTCATATTGGTAGTTAATTTCTTTCTTTTTTTTAAAATTAATTATCGTTATATGTATACGAAAACAAATCTTTCGGGCTGAAGCCCCCTCCCCAAAATTAAATCCTAGATCCGCTAGTGATGCGAATCATTCCTACGGGCCAACTAATATTTACATTTTTCATTTTTTTTTTAAATTCTAATAAATAAAGATAGTGGTATATGAAAAGTGAATCCAAAATTTAGGTTAAGTCTCGATAAAACTAAGAGAGAAAAAGAAGACTCTTTGGTTCCTCTAAACTTGGTAAATGCCTAGATTAGATTCTCTTAGAAATATTCGATTTTCAACATTGACAACTCGCTAAATGTTTATAAATAAATAAATGTATAAATCATTGGAAGGGCCATTCACGCTCCTGCTCACATCAAGAGGAAAAAATGTAAGGTTTACTTCCCATTCAAAAGAAAGGTGCACGCGATCTTCCTTAACGGAAAGAGGCAGAACAATTTAGCGAAAAGAAGAAAAATGGAGGAACCAATGGAGAAAATATCGTGTTGATATGATGGATTGATCAGTAAGGATCACAAAATAACCTCAATTTCTATTTGAGATCAGATGAACAGTTAAAATTATACATTAACAAAACGTGAAATTCCCTACAGAGCGGAATGAGATAACATATCTGGGTCCGGAGGTAAAAGGAACCATGCCCGTTTGTTGTTAAATAATTTAATAACTAAAAATAAATTTTAATGGATCAAAGTTATGGAAAATTAGCTTTCTGAACATGTACAATAATGTTTAAGGGTGTCTTACCTCAGGAGTACTGATTTAGTAATTAGGAAACAAATTTTAATAACTGTATGTTATGGAAGATTGGCTTCCCTTAACAAATACAAAAAATCTGGCGCGCGTAATACACAACTTTTAATTACCGCTTAACTTTGAATAGAAATTATTTTCTGGCCAAGTTGGGCTATTATGTAATTTTAGAATTACATTTTTAACCGAGCTAAAGTTAAAGCTTGCAGCTAACAAGTTATAAATACCATTAAAATACAAAAATCCTATTTATTATATCACCGGCTGATTATGGATTGTAGGAGTATTAGTTATTAAACTGTTATTGTTCATTGCAATGTTTACTAAAATGAAATCATGCCATTAACAGTTCAAAAGTTGGCACATTAATTTTAAGTGAATACTGTCGGAGTATCAAAAAGAGAAAATTCATCAAATTATTCACAAATTTAATTTTCTAGAAGGATACATGATGATTTTTCGGAATAGACGGGCGATAGATACCAAATTATATAAATATAATATCAGATCTAAAATTATTAAACTACGGTAAATGTATTTAACGTTATAATCATATATTTTATACAGCAATAAAA